TAAAGACAACTTTACCATCAGCAATTTATAAAGGCAAATTGCTGAATGAAGGCTGTAAAAGGGTGAATTCAGCTATATTTTGGCTGGGTTATATATAGCAGGCTGCCTGCCAGAGCATTATCATCTGCTGCTGGGTCAAGCGTGTGCTTTTAAAATTCAGACCACATACACGCTATGCAGGTGCATTCTATGTAYTCGTAGCGCAGACACAACTTTCAGCTTGGTTTGCATAAGTAGTAGGTTATAAAAACCATCAGAACATCCTACCAGCCAACTCCTTTGAAAAGGCTGTGAATTATCTGATCCAGCTTTTGGAAGGTGGTTGGTATTTTTTAGACTTTTATATTCTTTCCATGCTGGGATTCTTGTCTTTACAACCCAGACAGTTTTAAACAAATATGTTTTCATTTGCAGGACTTGGTTTACTTTACTTGGACTTGGGTCCTCTATCTATTGCACTGGTTTCAACAAACCATTACTGCCCTGCATTTTAGGGCCAAGMAGGAGACGTGCCATTTCTGCTGCAAGCTTCTGTTTCCAGATAACATTTTTCTCAAGGCGAAGCTTCCTTCACAGTGCAGTTTCAGGTTGCTTGCTGTTTCAAACAGCTATGGTCATGTCACATCTGCACTGTACCCTCTGCTTTGGCTCCTAAGAAAGAGCCGATCAATTAGAGACCAACACTGCTCCCTTCTACAGCCTGTTAGTAATACTGGCCTTGGCTGCAGCTGGGACCATCTCCATGGGATCCTTTTAGGATGGATAGCTGCACTTGTGTCCTTTCAAGTACCAAATTCACAGCTGAAGTAAGAGCGTTGAAATAAATTGAGAAGAGTCCTTGGGGACTGCTCTACTTGCCAAGGTATGAGCTGCAATACCCACAGCAGAGTTAAGCATTGGGTCCCTTAACTGTGTTAGTGGACACATCTCCCAGGTATAGCACATAGCTGCAATTCCCCAGTCAGGTGCTGTGCAAATGCAGCCATGCCCACCGGTGCCCAAGCTCAGGAATTCTTGAGAGGAGGAAGAATCACACAGCCCTTTAGCTGCCCCAGAAGACAATTCGCTAAACTAAGAGCACCATGACTTTATCAAAGTGTCATCATGCTTTGATCCAAAGTCAGCAGAACAGAAGGAAAAGGGGAGCAAAAGCTATTTAGCAATATTTAAGTTCACCAAAGTAGAATGTGGTGGGACTCAAYTGAGAAAGACCAAGAATGCAGGTCTTACTAGCAAGAAGTGACAGTGGTTATATGTGGACTTGAATCATGAAGAGGAGAGCAGATTTAAATTATGGTTTAGAGCTAGGCTTTTGTTTCAACTTGGAAAGAAAAGATGCCCATTGCATCTTGGCAGTAGGGGTCCTAGCAGTCCTGAGGTTTTGCAGATTTCTATAAAGTCAGTCCTAAAGATAAGCCACCAGCACCATGGTGTTGCTCCCGTATCACACACTCTTCCTAGTAGCCCATGTGAGGTGGCAGGGCTGAAAACCTGCCAGGGCTTCTAGAGGAGACACTCCTCCAATGTGAGTCATTTCCATGGCTCTGATGAGTCAGCACTTCTGGTGACTACTGGTCTCTTCAGACTGTTTTGGCGATGACTAATGATGAGCACTTTTCTGAGAGTTAGTCATTTGACTTTAGAGGCATCTCCTGTATCTCAGTCCCAGAGAGCAGCAGCTGTCTGGACCAGGACTGCGGCAGTGTTCCCAGCACTGCCTGCTTGGTTTCTGCCCACCAYAGCACGAAGACAGCCTTTGGCTTTGCCTATCTTCTTTTTCTGAAACCAAAAAGTAGTGGCACAGTGGCACAATTCATGTTACAGAACATCCTTCTTATTAGCTTGTGCCATTTACTTTTTGTTGAATACAATGGCAAAGTTTATTTTAATTAAGATGGTGGTAGCCCTGCTGGGTTTAATTAAATGGCCATAAAGCCCAATAGTCTGTTATCAAATTTGAATGCACATGACTTGTTTTGATTTGTCTAGCTGTCATCAGAAAATGGATCTGATAATGAGTAAGTCTCTGGTCTGACCACCCAGCGGCATCATTAATAAGCTAATACACAGAGTGAAAGATTCACCACCTCCTGCTGCAAACCTCTGATATGCCAGTTAGAAAAGGGAGCAGCAGTTACATGCATCTGGAATCTAGCCCATATTTACATACTGTGGGAACACAGCTCGTTAAAATAATGAATACACTGTTGTTTCTAACWTGGGAAAAAATATCTGAGATACAGATCTAGTTCTCTAGTTCCTCCCTTTTATGCCAACCTTTATTAGCAACTTGTCTAATTCCTATTTTAAGTCTTAGTAATGGCCTGAGCCTCTAAGCTTAGGTAATTGCCACATCTGCAGGGCATTTGCTGGTTTCAGCACAACCAGCCCAAGATGGACTTCCATACTGGAGATAGCCAGCCTCTACTCTCTGTAGAGTCACCATGAAGAGAGGTAGGAAATTCTATATTAATTTCAGTGTTTGAAGATGGGATAAATTGCAGTCCAGACTGCACTAACTGTTGCCCAGAAGAGAGCTGAAGGCAAATAAGTAAGGCAAAAATGTTTGCCTTTTGGACACTGTAGCTCGGGTGATCACCCCCAGTGCCCAGTTAGTGTAATTCAGAGGGGTTAAGCTAACAGGAAGCTCCTTAAGAAATAAACTGAATACACTCTTTCTCCTAAACAATTTTCCAAGATTTGTGGAGGACGACTTCCCAAGATGTCCCAAGAGACCTGCTGAACAGTAAAAGAAGTTCTTGTATAAAACTCAGTTGTAACAGAATGAAACTCTATGTGATATTCTATTGTCTGAGTGCTGGATGAAAGACAAATCCTGTATTAAAATAAATATGCAGTAGCTGAGGCTCTTAAGTGGGGCTCACTACAGGTCAGCCCAATCCCAGATCCCAGCCAAAGAATTTTTCTATGATGTTGGATAAATCAGGCTGTGACTTGGAAGCAGTTCAGAGACGTATAAATACTTTTGATACTTTCCTAAAGGAAGCTACTGAAAAGTGACATTCCCTCCATTGGAGCCATGCTGGCATTTTTCAAAGTAAAATTCACCAAAATTATTGTCTTTTAGGCAGTCTCTGACCCACTTTGCGAATCTGCAAGCTGCGACAAAATTCAGCTAAACTAGATAAAGTCTGACAAAACTGTATGTAACAAATATATGGTCTGTTGTGCAAAGTGAGAGTAACTTAATAATAAGCTTAGTTACGAGCTAAGCACCCGTGCCAAGTAAAAACAACTAAAAGTAGCAGCATCTTATAGCCAATAACAGAACTTGCAATAAAACAAAGAGCATACTGTGACTGAAAAAGAACATATATTAGTATTTATCACCTCTTCATAACGGAGGTAGTGAGTAACAAAAGTTCAGCTAAAATAGTGAGTTTTTTAAATATGCATTCAAGGTGCTCCTTCTTTTTGCTTCTCTGTTATTTTTTAAAAAAAAACAGTCTCTCACAAAATCAGCAGTTGTTCCTGCAAATTTCACTGTGTACACTGCAGACAGAAAATAATTATAACTGAGCATTGGAAATGCAGAGCTTTTGGGGTTTGTTTTTGTTTTGTTCTGTTTTGCTTTTTTTGATAGTCCCCTATTTTTCGCATCATGTTTGTTACTTCTTCCACTCGGTGCTGACACGCAATACTGATATATATACTCTTGCAAATAGCAACCCCCAAAGGCAGGAAACTCACAACATTTGCATAAAAAAATTATTTTCCTTAGAAGAGTGTTAACTACTGCTGCATAAAACCGGTTGCTACACAAGTTACACTGTGCAGTCTTACTCCATGCTTCGCATTCTCTCCTTTCTGTCTCTGTTGCACTGTTACAAATCTGCCAGTTAAACTCTATGCAGCTCTGAAACGTATTGTCTGGAATGAAACAACCAATTATTTCTTCAGGTTTTGTGGCATAATATCCTAGGAAACCAGCAATTAGAGAATCAAAGTGGCATCAAATGGTGTAGAAAGGAGTTAGCATGTATTATTCTTTAAATAGCAGTTACATGAACTCATAATAAATGGGTATTAAGTGCTAAATGTATGATAAGTAATTCTTGACAATGCAATTATCCACACAATACAGGAAAAAGCTGCAAGATGGCTTTGTCAAATTTGCCCATGCAAATGCTACTGTGTGAAATAACAATATTGTAGATTAGCTTCTCTTCATGAACACCCTGGAAACAAAATAGTGCAAGTACATGTGTACAAGCCAAGCAGTACATAGCTCACAATTCCTGGTAGCCCTCAGTGGGTAAATGTCACCCACTGTTTTGATCTCTCCTGAACTTAAAAACTTAATTTGTTCGGAWTAAGTGGAAGGGAGCAGAATACCCTTTTGACCTCTGAACATGTTATATATATATATATATATGTATGTATAGTACTTCTGATAGGGAGAAGAGAATGAAGATGAAGAAAATATGTAAAGCAGTTTGAACTTAAAGAAATACTGATCAGAGGTTTTCAGTTTCACTGGCAAGGTTACGTAGTCCTTATGGCAACGAGCTTGAAACTTAAGGAACTTCCAGAGGATGTATCCAAATGAGAAATAATGGGATACTTTGGAGGTAACAGACTCCATCAAAYTCTTTTAGACCGCTGTGTCTCAAAATGAGGTTGGCAGCTTGTTTGACTGGCCAGCAGTTGTTGTCACAGGAAAAAACATGTCACAATCCTCCATAGAAATAGAAGAATTTGTCTTTGGGCCTGAATGTGTTTCTTTGGAACCAAAGAACTTTTGAGGTCACTCAGCCTGATTATCTGGGGTCTGAGGATGTTATCAAGCTTATTCAGCCTTCTAAGAAACTTCTCAAGGATGAGCTTAACACTGCTTCTAGTCCCCTTGTCCTCTGCCCTGGCTTTCAGCTTTCACCTGTGTTGTTCTCCTGATTGCCACCTGCCTCCTTTCAGGTGGGGTGTTATAAAGAACTACTCGGAGGCAGTAGGGTGGATGGTGATCTGGTGATACTAGTTAGTGGTTAGGTAGATGAGCAAGCAGTAAATACTGATTAGCATAGCTAGCCAAAACTAGTCTCCTCACAACTGTCCAGAGGACTACAAAGGCACTGAGGTGATCGGTCTTCTGAGAAAGAAAAGAAAAGCTTATTTCTGGGTGAGGGTCATGAGCTGTATGCTCTGCTAGTGCTCCTCCAAGATGTGTGCTACAGACAACAGAGATACAGAACTATGTTCATCTCTGTAATCCAGTGGTTTCCCCAGTTTGTCAGTCTGAAGTTTGACTTCTGTTCAGTTCTAGTATGAAGATAAGTCAGAAAATACCAGGCAATGGATCCTGCTCTGTTCATGGAAGGAAGCATCGCCAAGGTAAGGATCTTATTACACAAATCTACTCTATTAGGGGAGGACTGACATAAAGGGATACTATAGAATATGTAGAGTGATAGAACAAAATACAGCCCAGCATAAAGTTTGGTCTTTACCATTAACCGTCSTATTAATGATTAGGAGGTTAAAAACACTCTGGCTGTATTTTGGGAGGAGTTTCTTGGTTGTACCTATTCAAATCAAAAGCTTTTGCCAAACTTGTTAGAAGAAAATGTATGAAAAAGAAATTTTATCTTTGAGCAAGTGTCTCATTTGCATTTATTCTAAGAACCTGGATAATGGTAAGTTGCTTCTGTGTCACATTTCATGTTTTCTAGCTGTGGAATCATGTGGTTCATAAATCTAGATCAGAACATCTTTCTCAGTCTCGAGATTAACAATTTTATCTTGGGCAGGGAGTCTCTTCAAAGTTTTTTTTTTTTTTAATTCAAATTTTATTACTATCTAAATTAATTAAATCTCCAGAAGAAAAGAATAACACATTTGGAGAACTAGAAGAAAGCTTTTAATTTCAGTTCCTGTGTGTTTGTTTGTTTTCTGTAATAACATCTGGCACCATATGTTAAAATATTTACTCTTCTTAGTTAGTCAAGAATTATGTTTTATAATTAACTTTCAGACTTTAAACTCACAAAACTGAAGGAAATGAATAATGAGCTTTCCTCAATGTATCCTGGTCTCTCCAAAACTTCAAGCACATACTTAAGTCCTGGTCTGCATCACTTGCTGCATGGCTAGTTCAAGTTTTTCTCTCTATTGGGCTTGTAAGCAGTGTCAAGCCTAACATGTTTATCTGGCTCTCRTAAGAATCTTGCCTATATAAACCTGACAATGTAACACCAGTATGAGTTAGAAAACCTAAACCAAGATTTGCAATGAGATCTAGAAATCTAGATACATAAACTCTAATGAAATTTAGTATGCTCTTGAAATCATTTACTGTTTTGAAAAGTCCCATCCTTTATCACTGTTCTTGTCCTCTGTCTATAATTGTGTAACAATACCCACCTCACAGCTGCATTGGGAAGACTGGTATTTTTAAATGTATCTCTTTGAGCTGCTTTTTTTTTTTTTCTAATGAAAACCAGTGGATCTGTAGCATTAGCTCCATAAGAAGAAGAGGAAAACCAGCTGAGATAGGCTGAAAAGTAGGCTACATCTTGATTGAAATCCAGTGAAGCAGGGCTTGGTGTTCTACCTGGTATCATCTAGGCTARGTCCCAATATTCCTTCATGATTTTTACTGTTCTTATGTTTTTGATAGGCATGGGACCAACCCATACTACATCCGCATAGGAAGGATGTRGGGTATGGATGGGAGAAAAATAGAAGAAGAGTTAGAGTGGAGCATTAAAAGATGTTTGTGGGAAGTTTGCATGGCACTTAATTCAGAACAGCTGTCTCCTTTCTTTCATATCATTAAAAACACTCACATTTTCAAACATGTATGCATTTTGTCTTGAGTAATCTCTCTGGCTGCTACAGATGCACAGTAAGCACAGGATGACATGTCAGACTTCAGTCATTTGATTCGAGAAGATACCTAGGAGTTTCAGGAGCTTTTTCTCTGGTGGGAAGCTAACAAGCACAACTGTTACCTTGGTCTCCTTTACATTGCATAACTTAGAACGATTTCATCCAGTCGCTGAAAGTAGGAGCATATTGAGAACAGACACTATTACACAACTGTTCTTTGTGCAAGAATGGAACTGGACGGTGGAGGAGGCTGTAACAATTGTAATAGCAGTAATTTTCAGTATGAATGAGTAGTCACCAATCTTTGGGAAAGTGTAAAGCTAAACCACGTACATGGCTTTGTCACYGATGGCTCAGAAGAGGCAAAGATTYCACCTTTGTTAACCTGTGGCATGAGGTGTTGCWTTTTTTTTCTCCTTTAGAGATGCCAAGAAGCCCTTCTAAGCAAAGGCTTAAGCTTGAGATTGTCTAGGCTAGGGCAATGAGGGAAAACAAAACTAGTTCCTCTCGCCACAGGCTTTGGGTACCATTCCTATCTCTCCACGCAAATACCAGCACCAAATAGTAGTCAATACATTTCTCAGCAAGCGTTTTTGAGTCTAGAATCATACAGGAACTCCTTAAAGGACAGAAATGTTATCTTTTCTGYAAGTTCACTCTTCAGGAAGAATTTCTACACATTATGTTGTACAAATATCTAATAAATACAGTCCTCCTCGCTAGTTGTCAGGTAGTTCAGTCTTATGGGGAAGCCTTTGGAGAACAGTACATGTTCACAAATCTACTGTAGGCTGAGGCAAAAGAGCTGCAGGAGGCCAAGTCTTCCCTAATGTCAATCTGTCTTCATCATCCCTAATATGACTGGCACTTCTGACAACACAGCCCTTGGACTAAACAGATTGTATGATGAATTTCTCAGTTGAAATTCTCTAAGCTGTCAGTGTATGTGCTCATTATGGATGTCAAGAACAACAACAAATCAGAAGAGTGATTTTAGGTAACTAATGCAATTAATTTTCCACATGGTAGGCAATTTCTGTGGCAGTTGCTCTTAACGTTTCTCTTACATGTAATACAGATGAATATTCTTTGCTTGCATTTCTTCTTGTTGGAAAGAGAGAAAAAGATATTTTTAGCAAATCCCCTGAATAAGAAACCTAAAAAGCATATGATATTTGGGCACTAAGAGATGCTTCAAACATTATGTAACTAAGTACATTCACATACAGAGCATAGTTGTCTTATAATTGATCCAAAATCTTCCTTTCTGTTGTGTTAATGTAACTTTAAAAATGTATTTCTCAGGACATTTATAACTATGAAGACACCACCATGGCTCAAATGTTACTACACTTTCAGTGACAACACTGTGAACTTGTCAAGATGAAAATGTGTCAGGGAACAGATTTATCTATGCTTCATAGCTGCCCACTATAGCTGCTGCATAGCTGCTCTTTTCCCAGATTAACTTTAACATGAAAGCAGCCTTTCAACATTGTTTGTCAAGTATTTGCTGCAGATATCCACTGGTCTCCAGGGCTGGAAGATTTATCCCCAAAGTGTTTTTCCCAGCTAACGAAAGAAAAAAATATTCATCTAGAAGAGAGTGATTTGTGACCACCAAAAGAAGGCTTGACCGTAACATTAGTATCAAGTGACTTTTTCCACTTAAAAATCAAGCAGTTTCCCACAAATATTTAGTGATGGTTACTGTGACTGTCCATGAACAATGGACATGGCCATGTAGTGTTTTTCTTTAGAATCAAAATGGTCAATAATATTGTACAAAGATAGGGATTTTAGACTCTTGTATAACCAAGGGATTACATTGTCATAGATGGCAAAATAGTCATAAAAGTTCTAACAAGTCTTAAGTTGTATATATTTTCATATATGCACATTCAAACAAATACTTTGTAATATTTCAGTGCTTTAATAGAATAAGTAACTTAAGCTACAGCMGACAGTTTTTCATGGTGCTGCAAATGTGAAAGTAAGTGGAAAAGGAAGAGTAGATATGTACTGAGATAATAAACTCTTTGGATTGAAGTTGCTATTTCATTGTAGCTATAGTCTTTTAAACACCTGAAGAACAAATATTATTTCTATTTCCTGAGGATAGAGGGATGATAGAACACAATTTCAACTGCACAGCTAAGTATTAATCACTCCTTGTCACTTTCTTAAGGTTATTTCTATGGAATTGTTCATGGATCTGGTTTCTGTAGTAAACACCTGTTTAGCGTTCTTGACTGTTCCAAAGTTTACAAGGGTTTAATTTGAATTTGTCCTAAAGTTTCCATCAAAAATTGCTCTAGAAAATAGGAAAAGTGATGTATTTTCCTCATACCAGTGCTTTGGAAAGAATAGACTGCTTCTCCTTACACTGTAGAATAAATGTTTTTCTTGCATTTAGTATAAAATCAATACAAGCCTCATTCAAATGCCATTAAAGTCAATGAAGAGACGTTCTTCAAACTAATGGTCTCTGGATCAAGATGATGTTGCACACTTGAATGAACTCTCTGTATTTGTCTTTGGTTAATATATTTGTCACTATATTTCCTTTTGGAATAAATGCAGGCCCAGTATTTGTTTAATAATTTTTAGCATTAAGTTACCTGACTGCATTTCTTGGAGTGAACAACATCAGCAGCCTTTCTCAAGTGATTACACAGCGTCTAAATATTCTGTAAACTGTGGGCTGAGCAGTGGTTAAGTGCAAAGTGGTTCATTTATTTTGGTACTTACAGAGTGCTTTCTGCTTAAGAGACAAGGCAGAACAGTACGCAGACAAGCATGCTGCCATATTGCTACAGAAATTAAACATTTCAGAGTAATCATGATAAAGCACTGGAAAACACTTTTCAGTTCTTTAAGTGTTTTCTTTCCTCTCTATTGCATAAAATACAGTAGAATATCTTGTACTATTTCTGTATGCACGGATATTTCTTCTCTAGAAGACAGCCATTGTTTTAGACAAGTATTGATTTTTTTTTTTTTTTTTTTTTCAGGCATCTGTTTTGTTAGTATTTGAGTCTTGGGCATTTTTCTTTTGTCATATGTTCATTCAGCAGTAAAGTGATGATTTAGTTTCAAAGCAGCATATGCCTGAGTTTATGGTGTTTCCCGAACTTCTTTGGCTAGTGTTAACAGACGTTTTTGTTGTTTGCATCCAGTTTATTTGTTTGATTCCTAGTGGATTATCTGATTTGAATAGGACAGCAAACTGTGGTGTAGAATCTTATCTCCATACCAAATTCCAGATTCCCATTATAGCTTTTTCTGTAATTTTGTCGCACCATAAACATATGTGAATTTTTGGTGGATTGCTGTTAGCTCTGCAACAAGCTGTCCTAAAATGATAAAACTATGATAAAACTAATTTTTCATTATTTTGATAATAATATGAAAGTCTCTTCTGCAGACGTCTGAATACATGAGTTATTTGGCTTCCCGGTCCATGCCTAACAAAGCCTTTTCAGCTTATTAAAAAAGCAATG